CAGCAGGGGCAGGGCAGGGGCGTGAGCGGGCGGTGCAGGGCAAAGCAAGGGGGGCTCAGGCAGGGCGCAAGTAGGCAGCGCGAGCAATGCAACGCGCAGGGCAGCGGGCGGCGGGCCAGCAGCGAGCAGGCAGCGTGGGCGGCACAAGGCAGCGCGGGCGACGCGCGGGCAGCATGCGGGCCGCGCGAGCAGCGTGCGAGCGGCGTGCGGGCAGCGCGGGCAGCGCGTGGGCAGCGTGCGGGCAGCGCGTGGGCAGCGTACGGGCAGCGCACGGGCAGCGCGAGCAGCAGGCGGCCAGGCGCACTAGGCAGCGTGTTGGGGAAGGCAGCGCTGTAGCGCGCTGGGCAGGGCATGAAAGAACGGCCGGGCAGGGGAAAATCTACTACCGGGCAGAGTGAAACGAATGTGGTGGGCCCTAAAAAATATAGTTCCTGATCGGGACTTACTCTGAAACCATGTTACAACTAGGAATTGTGTGCATTAAGTCAAAGCGGGGGGTACAAGTACAAGGTCGAGAGAAATACTTTACCCCCTAAGGCTAAACTCACTACAGCCTAGTACAATATAAACATATATTGTTTGACAAACATAAATCCTTGTGCAGTTTCATGTAATGTGTAGGGGAGTGGACAGTATGAATCACAAAATACCATTGGGTTTCATACAAATAATGAAGGACATGTATAAGCACATGTATAGATCTATTTCAAAATCCTGTCTAAATGGGTAACGCGTTTCAGTTTTGCAACGAGTACAATTCGATTTTCGCTTCGTTTGACTCTTGGGTCACTCACTCGCTGCGCGTCCAGTTAGTTTGAGCTAGCACACCTGCAAAGTGACGTGCCTTTGCAGTGGTGCACCGACAAAAATTGGCCCACACGCGATCTGTATTTTTACCCTCTAAGATTTCGACTCGACTGAAATAGGAAAAACGGGTTGTACAATTTGGTGCGCTTAATTGTAATTAAATATTTGTCATTACATAAGCACATGCGCTTATAGAAATGACTCAATTAGAAGCGCACCCCCCTAAGAAACCATGTTTTGTTATAAGCGCACCATCGCTTCTATCTGGGGTGATACGGGACCTAACAAGCGGAGCATATCACTTTAAAGATGTCAAATCACGATCTTAACTAGTAGTCATGGCTAGGGTTTGAGCTAGCCTTGGCAGGAGAAACGAGAGGAGCGAGAGTAAGGTGTTGGCCAACCAAAAGGGGGTTTCACTATAGAGTCAGCAGTACAAATAGGAAAACAGCAGGCAACAAGAGGAGGTGCACCACCAAACAGGATACAATAGCTACACTACAACATAAAGTATTATATGAAATATGTAGAACATATTTTGACACGCCCCCTAAATTGTTTGTAGGAGTAAGTGTAAAACGCCCCCTAAAGGGGTACACCATGAGTGCAGCGAAAGAAGCAGTAGCAAGCAAGAGCAGTGGTAGCCGGTGCAGAAGTGGCAGATATAGCTGTAACACACCCTCAACCAGGGCAGGAGCAGTAGCAGGTGTAGGAGCGGCAGGTCGCCTGAGGAGCAGGCTCTGTGGCTGCAATGTCGAGCAGGACAGCACCGGCTCGACGGCAGCACCTGCAGGCCCCAGCAACAGGCAGCAGAAGACAGGGCAGGTGGCGGCGGGGGCGGCAGCTGGAGGTGCAACAGTAGCAGCGGGCGGCAGCAGCACATGCCTGGCTGACTTCCGCCACCCCCTCACCCTCCCCCCCACAGCGACTCATGCGGCAGTGAGAGAGAGGAGGAGGGGCAGCAGTTGGTTGCTCACACCCGCCACCCCCAAACCCTCCCCCCCACTGCTGCACGCGCAGCAGGGAGAGAGAGGGGAAGGCGAGCGGTGGCGTAGCGGTGTGGCGCAGCAGTGCGCGGAGCGGCGTCAACCACCCACGCCCATCCCCTTCCCCTCGCCACCTCCTCCCACAGCGGAAGCCGCGGCGACGGGAACCAGGGCGCCCGAGACGACGGGATGCGGGGCACCCGCAGCGACGGGAAGCAGGTCGCCCGCGGCGACGGGAAGCAGGACGCCCGCGGCGACGGGAAGCAGGTCGCCCGCGGCGACGGGAAGCAGGACGCCCGCGGCGACGGGAAGCAGGTCGCCCGCAGTGACGAGAAGCGGGTTGCCCGCGGCGACGGGAAGCGGGGCAGTAGGGCGACGGGACGCGGGGCGCCGTACGGGGCTCGACATCGCGTCCGTCGCGGCCGGCACCCGGAGCGAGAGTAAGGTCTTGGCCAACAAGAAGGGGGTTTCATGATAGAGCCAGCAGTACAAATAGGAAAACAGTAAGCAACACAAGGAGGTGCACCACCAAATAGGATAAAAGAGACGAAACAAGCGGAGCATATCATCTCGTGTTTCAAGCGTCCCACGTTGAAGCTTCTCGACCGTTTTGGTTATTGTTTATTGAGATAAGTGTTTGTTTGCAAAGGATTTGTAAGATGACTTACTCGTAGTGGTGGAAATCTCGAATGTTAACATAGTACTGTAAAAGTAAATTTTGATTACAGACCAAGAAATTTTTGTTTACGAGGTCCTTAGCGGGGTTTTATGAATGTGAGAATCCAAGCCGAATCGTTGATCTTGCGAAACTGGCGAAGCGATATCAAACTTACGAAAAGCAAACAAGCCGAGCAGTTAGAATTCGGCTTGTATCTTCAAGCATGTATCTTCTAAATTACTCGTCCAAGCAAGCTTTGGTCATTCCTTCGATTTCCCGAAGCGCCCACCTTACCTTGAAAGCAGCTGCAAAGTGGGTATGGCGACACTGTTTGCCGAGCAGCTTTGAAGCACCTGAACATAAAGCTCTCCACCCTTGCTATTTTTGCGATTCTTTGAGCCGTTACAAAATTGGGAAACCCTAATCGATAGGCACTTGTCAAGACTGCTTCTGTCGCACATGACGTTAGAGGTCAGATTTCGAATCCCAGCTAATTTGATCCGACGCGGATCAGACGACAATAGAAATGACGACAGTAGCACAGAGGGTTGCACCATCCGTAGTAACGTCAGCATACATAGTGACGTCATCAAAGGAAGCGACGACAGATCATTTGAAAATAACTCATCGGCATCATCCCACTCTGTCGTTACCCTTACGGTTTCCCCTAAGGAACTTCTTGGGTCAGTCTTCAACAGACTGTTTCAGACTCATCTGCCACACTGCTGCTTACCTTGCGAGACACGACAGCAGCAGCTGGGAGCACACGTCGGGGTGAAACCGGGGACGGATCATGTCGTTCGGCCACAGCAACAGCAGCATGTCCGCTTCATGGTTTCTGGGCAGGTGACGTACCTTTCTCCTCAGGCAACAGTACAGCGAGCCAAGCTCAAAACGGGTACAACCATTCTAGTGCTCCCCGTGAAAGCAGTGGGTCATGGAGAAGGCTCGGGTGAAGTTGAATCAGCAGGCGTTGCAGGAGGTTTGAATGGTCCTGCTGCGGCGCCTTCGGTGGATGTGCCTCACGTTTCTGCTACTTCTACTGCTCCTGCTGCTACTGCTCCATCCTTCAAATCCAACACTGCTAGCGCTGATTTAGCGGTTGCTGCTGTGCGTCCTTCTGCTGCTGCTCCCGCTCGCCGTATCGACTACAGCAAATGGGATCACTTGCATTCCAGCAGCGATGAGGAGGAGGAAGAGCAGGCGAAGCGGAAGAAACAAGGAAAAGAAGGAGGTAGAAGCATTGGTGAGGGGAACGGCAAGGTCCAGACTTTTGCTGCTGGCACTGCTGCCAGTGCCAGCACCTTCGTTCCTCGGCTTGTTGGAACGCCATGGGATGGGCTGATCCTTGATCACACTCAAGGGCTGAAGCGAGGATTCCAAGAGAATCTGTCGAGAGTGGAAATTGTGGAAGAGCGGAAAGGGGAGGGGCCAGAGAGGCCAGGGGCTGAAGACTCAGAGAAGCTTCAACTGCTGTGCCGGGACGACATGGTTCACTACTTGGACGTGAGAGACGCGTGGGGCCTGGTTGTGTGCGAGTGCTGCTTCGACCGTGCTGTGAGCCAGCGCACACAGTACGCCCTCATCATGACGAGCCTGAAAGACTTCCGCTACTACGTGTGATCGCAGCAAGCTTCGTCCATCCCGCTCGCTCCCAACCGCCCGGCCCGGGGTATCTATGAATTTTCTATGAAGAGCAACTGGAGTAACTGGCCCCGCGGCTAAAAGTAGCGGCAGACGAGCAACGGACCCACGGGCGACTGGCACAGGTGGCTGCGACTGGGCTACCGGAGCAACTCCCCGGACTACAGGTGCTGCTGGCGACACGACGGCAACCTTCGTTCAACCTCCCCAAACAGTCCCACCCCCCCTGACACACACCCCCTGCTTCACCCCTAGCTCCACTCCCCCTTCACCCCCCTTAGTACCACTCCGACGGCTCCAACAGGTCCACCCCCCTCAGCGGCAGCTGCAGCACTGGGAGACGGAGGAGGAGGAGGAGAAGCAATGCCACTCGAGTGGATGCCGAGCCACGTGTGGGCGTGCTCATGGACCTGGGGAGTATCAGATCCCGCCTGCCTGACATTCTGGGCGCTGGAGATGCTTCTAACCAGGCCTCCACTTCTTCTGCTCCTGTTCCTGCGGCTCCTGCTGCTCTTGCTGCTGCTGCTGCTGCTGCTTCTGCCGCTCCTGCCGCTGCTGCTGCTTCTGCTGCTCCTGCCGCTGCTGCTGCTTCTGCTGCCCCTGCCGCTGCTGCTGCTTCTGCTGCTTCTGCTGCTCCTGCCGCTGCTGCTGCTTCTGCTGCTTCTGCTGCTCCTGCTGCTGCATCTTCCCCTGCTGCTACAGCGTGGTCTTGTTGTTGGCGTTGCAGCAGCTGCTGGGCTGCCTTCCGCCGTGCTGTCAGCTTCGCTGCCTCCCTCGTGCTTGTATCAAGGTGCTCTCGGTTCGTGACTCTATGCAGAGCTCATGCCGCAAAGTCGAAGGCCTATCCAGCCATTGTGACTGCGCTAGGGGCAGGCAGGCAGAATGAGATTGACACCTTGGCTTCGATGCTGGTTCAGATTCTAGGAGTAAAAGAAACTGGGGACCTGGAGGAAGGTTTTGGAATTCTGATGCAGAATCTGCTTTCGGGCGGGCTGGAGAAGGCGCATGCAGGGAGGAAGGGGGGAGCAGGCAGGGGACTGGACGAAGGATTCGGAAGTTTTATCCAGAATCTGCTGCCGGGCGGCCTGGAGGATGCACATGCTGAGAGAGAGGGGAGAGGTGGGAGAGAAGTAGTAGGAGGAGGGGGTGGAAGAGCAGGGCAGATGGAGAAGGATGGGGGTTTGGAAGGGTCCTGGGGAAGCATGGACGGTGGTGGCAAGGATGGGAGGAATGGGAAGGGTGGTCAATGGAGGGAGCATCTGAAAGGGCATGTGTGGGAGAGGTACGTGGATGGCATGACTTGGATTTTGGAGCATGGAGGGGGGGAAGGAAGGGAGTTCCGTTGCAGCCACTGCATTGAGGGGAGCAGCAGCAGCAGCAGCAGCATTGGTAGCGGTGGCAGCAGCAGTGTGGCCACGACGAAGATTCCCAAGGGCATGTGTGTGAGTGGTGTGGGTGCGACCGACTTTGCTCTTTCCGTTGCTGCTGTGCTGTCCAGGCCAGAGTACTGCAAGGAGAGTGACTTTTATTTCCAAGACGGGAACACTGCGAGCAAGACACGGGTGGAGGATGCAGCCATTGAGACGGCCAGGGAGAGGCTGAGAAGAAGGGCACGGGGTGAAGGGGGGGCAGCAGGCAGAGGTGTGGGAACACCAGCATCGTTATCACCACCAGCAGTGGCAGCATCATTTGCCAACACTCTTGTGAACTCAAACCCTGTCGTTGCAGTGTTCACGTATCGTGCTGCCTGCATTCTGCAGTGGGCCCGCACCTATGGGTCTGAAATCGTCCCTGCTAGTCAGTGTTGCAAGGACAGCCCCCAGGGGAAGGTCCGGCCCATGCGCCACCCGCTTCGGGACCTTCCGAGCCTGCTGGTCAGGCTCGGCGCCATCCCCAAGCCTCTGGATCAAGGCGAGTTCCCTTTGGAGTGGGAAGAGTGGCATTGTGGCGATGAAGCTGCTGCGAAGCTTCCTGATGACGCCAGTGCAAGATGCTTCCACCTGGGGATAGTGGAGGAAGCGAGTGGGACAGCAAAGGTGCGTGAGACAGGAGAGAAGGGCGGACAGGAGTCAAATCCAAGAGGCAAGATTGGGACTGCGAGGGGGCAAGGAAGAAACACAGAGAAGGGCAAGCGGGAGGGAAGGAGCAGAGGGCGTGGGGAGGAAGAGAATATTGAAGTATTGAGGAGGAGCGAAGAGGAGAGGCTACTACAGCAGCTGCTCACGAGGCTGCTGCCGCTAGTGCGGAGGAAATTCCCCATCGTTCGCTGCACTGCCGATGCCGAGTTCCTAGTGGAGTTTGCCGGGAATCTGGTGAATCCACCTGCATGCGCTCAGTGCAAGCAGTGCCTTGACGTATATAGCCGTAACATCCCCTTTGTCATGGTCATCGCCAACTACGCCTACCGACCTGTCTCCACCCTTTTCAACCGCTTTGTATCCATCTTCCCTCCTCACTCTCCCGAATTCGACCGGCTCGTTGCTCGTATGGGTCTGCCGCCTTTCCCTGCCAGCGTGCCTGGCTTTCTAAGGTCGCCTGTGGTGCAGGCTCGCGTTGAGCAGGATCCTGTGCTCTTCCTAGTGGCGGTGGCTCCAAAATGTGCTTCCCACATTCTGGGAATCACTGACCTGACGTACCTGCAAAGGCTGCGAGGCGGAACGGAAGATGATGGGAGGGTGTGGGAGGAGGTGCAGATGTGGTGCCTAGCGGTGGAGTTTGCGTGGCAGGGCGGCATGAAGCTCGAGGCTAAGGCATTGAGTGAGACGTGCAAGGGAAGGAGGGAGCGGGCCGGTCGGGATGTAGGGGAGCGAAAGGAGGTTACGAGTGAGAAGTGGCATGAGTTTTGGAAAAGGGCTGCCGTTCCGAGGTTCTGTGAAGACATGCTGGATGATAGTGGGCCTTCTGGAGGTACCAGTAGGAGCAGCAATCGCAGCGACAGTTTAGGAAGAAGAAGCAAAATTCGATGGCCCAGGGGGGGTGATGGGACGGGAAAGGAAGGGGAGGAGCCGGCTTATCTGAAGGCATGGCCGGGGGGAGTGAATCTGGTGGCATGTCTGCGAGAGATGCTGCTGGGGGAGCCCTGCTACCGCCGTGGCCCCCCTGGTGCCCCTTCCACCCGTGCTGCCCCTTCCACCCCTGCTGCCTCTTCCACCCCTGCTGCCCCTTCCACCCCTGCTGCCCCTTCCACCCCTAGTGCCCCCAATTACTCTTCCACCCATGCTTCCTCTTCCACTCATGCTTCCTCTTCCACCCCTGCTGCCCCTGCCTCGTCCATCCATGCTGCTCCACCCACCGGTGATGCGCCTTACCATGCAAGTGCATCTGTTTTGGTTACAGGCGGCACTGGTCCTGCTGCTGGTGGGGAGCGTGTGTGCGGTGCTGTGGGGTGTGGGACGGTGGGGGGTGATGGTGGTGTGAAGCTCAGGAGCTGCGGTGGGTGTGGCAAGGTGGCATATTGCAGCAGAGACTGCCAAAAGGCGCACTGGCCCTCCCACAAGCTCACATGCCAGGGCAGGACCAGCGACCGGGCTGATGGCAGCAACAGTGCCTAGGTGAGTTGGAAGGGTTAAGCGAGTGGCAAGGCTAGTTGTTAACTGAGTGGGTGAGCAGTGCAAGTGTAAGGAAAGGTTATCATTGACTGCAGGCGTCATATCCCTTTGTGATCGCAAGATCTCGACCATTGACTGGTGCCATCACAGGCATGGCTTGTATCGGCATGCAGCAAAGAACGAGGGTACTGTATGTGAGGTTTTCCTTCATGAACTGCTGTGATGTTTGCTTCTGTACTTGCTGCTGTGCTTTGTAATGTGTGTCCTCCCTGTGCTGCACTTCTGAGAATTCTCTGAGGTGCCCACAATAAGCGTGTGCGTGGAGTTGTTTTGCAGATTACTAGGGTTGTCATGTTATCTCTTGTGTCCTCCTGCTGCCAGTCATTCACCTTGTGCACCATCACCTGTTGGAATGATCATACCTTTATGTTGACGGAGCTTTGTTGCATGTGTTCAATGACGACGACTTCTTGTGCTCTAGTTTTTTTCCGGCTCTCACTACCCATTTTCACATTTTGCTCCCGCATCCCCTCCACCTGCTCTGCACAGGCTGAAGTTTAAACTGGCATGTTGAGTGCGTACCTTCTTGTGCAAAGCTCTTCATTGGTGATCCATCGTTCGGACCTGGTACAGTTGGGTGATGCAAGCACAGTGTCAATAAAGTGTTGCGTATACAAAGTCTATCAATGGTTGAACTTTCCTGCATCCCGGGCTGTGTGCATGCAAAATAAAAACACAGGAGCAGGCCAAACAAGCATGCAGCAATAGCAACACCGGCTGAAATTCATGGACATAAACAGGATGGGCAGTGCTCAACGCGGGCCGATGCCTGAAGGAGCACAAGCGCCTGCCTGCCATCAACTCACTCTGTACAAACAAGTCCCTTCAACTCAGCCCCTCACTCAATCAGCATTCCACTAGATCCTATGCTGGACCACCTAACTCAACCGCCACACACAGCACGAGGCAGCGCAGTGATTATCTTGCCACCACACCACCATCTCCAACAGATGCCTGCAATACTGCACCAGCGTCAATAAATATCATGTGGGACGACCATCTCGGACACGGCATGGATGGTGAACTGCGACCCGTTGAACAGATTCGGCATCACAATCGGCACGGGCGCGCCACCCTTGCCCTTGACGGCCACGAGCAGCCCGCCCTTGCGCCCGCGCTTCACCAGGCTCGTGCCCTCCAGTGTTCTCAGCCGCCGCCCGCGCGGCTGGTAGCGCAGGCGGCGGTAGTCGTAGCGGCCTTGCAGGATGTGGTAGGCGATGAGCTGCTGCTGCTTCTGCGAGGAGAAGGCCGCCATGAAGAAGCGGATGGTGCGCGCGTGCAGCGGCAGCAGGATGGTCACCCCGTTCAGCGGGATCAGAGACGTCACTGCGGAAAGAAAACGGGGGGTGGGGGGGAAGAGGGGGGAAGAGGAAGAGCATGAGTGGAGGGAGGAAAGATGGGTTGAGAGGAGGGGACTGAAGGGGAGAGGAGGAGAGTGGAGGGAAGAAAATGGAAGAGGGGAGAGCAGGGGAGTGGAGGGAAGAGGAGGCCCAAGGGAGTGGCTAAACGGCGAGAGAAAGGGCCGTATGCGCAGGCACTCATGCTCGTTGTTGCTGGGACAGTTTGAGGTGCAGGCGTCCCTGCACGGGAGGAAAAGCGGGGAAGGGAGGAGGGGGGGGGGAGTGGAGGGGAGAGCAGAGGAGAGAAGGGGGGAGGTGGGGAGAGGAGGGGAGCGACGGCAGAAATCAACTCGAGAGCGAAGCTCGAACGCTACAGGGGGGGGGACGCAGATTGTAGAGGAGCAAGAGGAGCGCTTTCAGCGTCTGCGGTGGCTCCCTGAACGACTGGGGAAGTTCGCAGAAAAGGATAGATTTGACCCAGATCACCAGACTTAACTCGTTTTATTCTCCACTAGTCTATGCTAGGCTTGGTAGGGATTGAGTAAGCAAGGAAAATGTCATTCCAAGACTGAGAGTACGCGCGTTTCGGCTGATGGCCTTCGTCAGGGTCTGCAGTGGCTCCCTGAACGATTGGGGAAGGTCTCAAAAGGAAGGCTCCACTGCAAAGAAGGAATTCAAGAGGGGAGGAATGAAAACGACGGGTTTGCGTGTCCTGCACGGCGGACTGCACTGCGGACTGCACTGCGTCACTGCTGCCGCTGTGGCGGACGCGGCGATACCCAACCCTAATCGTATGTCGCTTTCGGGAGTTCCCAAAGACGGGCGCCACGTCCCTGGTGATGATGAAAACCCCTGCCCAGCGATACCCAACCCTAATCGCGATTTCGAGGAGAAACTGGAACCCCGCTGTTTCCCCACCCACTCTCCCCGCAAGCAGCCGTACGTATCAGGTCGATGACGTCGTTGATTGGTCCGAAAATCCGCATCTTCTTGAGCTGCTTCTTGGCCTGCTGAATCTCCCTCGCCATCTTCGTCGATATGCCCGGCTGCTGCGCGTGAGAGGAGGGCAGCAGGGAGAGGAGGAGCGAGACGAGGACGAGCGCGACTAGCAAGTGGTATGGAGCGAATAACCGAGAGACGACGCGACGAGCCATCGTAGCTTGGCTAGTGGACGAAGTAACGGGTGATGGTCGGAAACGGATGTTTAGACTTCTCTAAAATCGCCTGCGACGACTTGTAACTACTAATGGAAGAAATACAGGAGTCGCCAATCTGGCTTGTACGTGCGCGATCATGTGAGATTAGCGAGCCGCTCGAAGCGCAGGATTAAGGAAGCAATTTGTTATGTCGAATAGGAGGACAACTACTATCGTTGACAAAATCTTTGGAAGTGCTCGAAGCGGCAATACGTGAGATACTTGTAGGAGACCTAGGCTCTTTGCACAACACAACCGCAACCTTTGGTGAGGAGAAAAGGCACCGCCACCCCAGCAACCTAGCTTCTGCAGAACACGACCGACTGAGGGCGGGTCCAACTCGTCACAACTCAGGTCATATCAACTTTTTTTCTGTAGGGTAACCGCTTCAAGTTATGAGATCAGCCTAGTTGACGAGCTTGGTTCTCCTACATGCAAAAACCAGTCGGTGGCAAATCACAGTTCTCACTCCAAATTCTCCGAACGAGTTGCAAACTGTGTAGCTAAACCTGTCACCGATCACGGCCGAGAGCAGCAGAGTTGTGGAATGTGACGTCACACAACGTGATTTGTTACCGAGGCGCAAGCTTTGGCAACGTTCTGTAGATCTTGAAAACTCGACCGGACCAGACTATACCTCTCAATGGCTCCTCGTATCCATCTACCCCTCTACCCCACTTGCATTTGTGAGCACAGTATAGGAGAGCAGGAGTACCATTTTTTCACAGATGCCTTCGTCGTAAAACGCCGCTGACGCTCAGTAATAAATCTTCGTCTGCGACTTGTGCATGAGCATTATTTGGTGAACAATTCGCTGTCTCTTACTGTTACGGTCACTAGTACTTGCTAAGTCTGCGGCTTCCAGTAGCTAACCTTCGCCCATGGCGTCGCACAGGCCAGCGGTAACGGCGACGAGCGATAGCGGGGCCGTCGAGCTGACGAGGCACCAGCACGGCAAGTCGCGCGTGCGGCTGGGGCGCGTGTGGCGGCGCGGCGGCGAGCACGCGATGGTGGAGTGGAGCATCGACATCGCGCTCGCCTCCAAGGCCGACGCGTCGTTCCTCGGCGACGATTGCTCCGCGGTCGTCGCCACCGACACCATGAAGAACACGGTGCGCTGATGGTGAGGTGATGCGCGCAGTTCGGTAATGAGGCGCGCAGTGCGGTGCGTGCGGTGAGTGATGGCAGCCCTGCGATCGTCGCCACCGGCACCACGAAGAACACGAACGGTGGTGATGCGCTCTGTGCGGTGATGCGCGCTGCGTGGTGATGCGCTCTGTGTGGCGATGCGCGTTGTAGTGATGCGCGTTGCGTGGTGATGCGCGTTGTGTGGTGATGCGCGTTGCGTGGTGATGCGCGTTGTGTGGTGATGCGCGCTGTGCGGTGATGCGCGCTGCGTGGTTATGCGCGTTGTGCGGTGATGCGCGTTGCGTGGTGATGCGCGCTGTGAGGTGATTCGCGCTGCGTGGTGATGCGCGTTGCTTGGTGATGCGCATTGTGTGGTGATGCGCGCTGCGTGGTGATGCGCGTTGCGTGGCGATGCACGTTGTGTGGTGATGCGCGTTTTGTGGCGATGCACGTTGTGTGGTGATGCGCGTTTTGTGGCGATGCACGTTGTGTGGTGATGCGCGTTTTGTGGCGATGCACGTTGTGTGGTGACGCGCGCGGTGTGCTGATGCGCGCATAATGACCATGATGTGGCGTTCAGTGATGTGTGCGGTGAGTGGAAAAAAAGGTGTGGTGATGCGCGTAGTGAGGGGACGCTCGCCGTATGATGGTGATGAGGCGCGTAGAGTGGTGATGAGGCACACAATACGGTGAAGCTGGGCTAATCGCGGCAAAGGAAAAGAGTAGAGGAGAATGAGTGACTGTAAGAATTGCTCTCCTCGTTGCCATTCATGCCATGACCAGCGCTATGAGCGGCGAGTGGGGACGCACCTGAGGCGTCTTGTCACGGAGAGTGAGGGTGCAACGCAAAGGACGCAAAGGGAGGGGCTTCTCCTCACTTGATGCGACCTTGCTTCCCCATGCTGACGTGGCACACATGACATGACCTGACACATGGCTTGCCCGTTACACACCTGCCTGAATAGAGTGCTTCGTGCGTGCATCCACTGCACGGTACCGCTGCGAGTAGCTGTCCAATAAGGGTGCGAGTAGCTGTCCAATAAGGGTGCGAGTAGCTGTCCAATAAGGGTGCGAGTAGCTGTCCAATAAGGGTGCGAGTAGCTTGTCGCGAGTGGCATCTCTCTGCTCTCACTTGCTCCGAGGTTGCGTCCCCGTATCTGCTGCTTCATGCTTCCACCCATGCTCGTATGTGCTGGGGTGAGGAGACACTGCTCCAGCAGTTTTCCAGCCGCTAAAAACTCGTCTATCTTCACGTCGTTTTCTGCCTTGTTGGTGCTTCCATGCAGGTGTACGTGCTGGCGAAGCAGTGCGCCAGCGAGTTACCACCAGAGCTGTTCGCCATCAAGCTGGGCCGTCACTTTGTGTCCTTCTATGATGTGGTAAGCTCGCCAGTCGTCCTCATTGACATACATACGCACCCAGTCAGTCGTCCCCTCGGTTCATTACACATGCACCCGTGTGCTCGCTTCCCCCCATCTCTTCCCCCCATCTCTTCCCCCCATCGGCGCTTCCCCCCATCGCTTCCCCTCATCGCTTTCTCCCATCGCTTCCCCTCGTCACTTCCCCCATCGCATGCCACACATGCCATGCCACCATGCACCCCACCACATGCCACCATGCACCCCACCACATGTCACCATGCACCCCACCACATGTCACCATGCACCCCACCACATGCCACCATGCACCCCACCACATGCCACCATGCAACCCCCACTCCCACCCCCTTCACCCCCAACCCCCCACCAGGTGACTGCAGCGTCCATCCGCATTGTGGAGCAGCCGTGGCAGCGCGTGCACGTGGGCGGACAGCCACACGACCACGGTAGGCTGCAGTGGGGTGCTGTGCGTGCGTGCGGTATGGTGGTGGTGCGGGGTGGGGTGGGGTGGGGTTTGGGTTATTGGTGTGTGGTGTGGTGTGGTGTGGTGCACGGTGGGGTGGGTAGGTATTGGGGAGCTATGCGGGGTGGCTGCATATCCATGGTAAGGGGTATGTGTATCCATGGTAACGGGCATGTGTGTTAAGGGGGGGTCCGAAGAATTTCACATTGGTTTTGCTCGTTATTTTTACATGATTGCGCTCGTCAATATTGACTGTACGCCAATTTGTACTCTGATCATTTCATGCCAACTGACCGAGTGTACATCCCAGATAGCTGACAAGGTACGATACTGAGACCAACTGCAGTACCACACACTGGTTAACCAAGTCACGCACAGGGTTGGCCTGACATTCTCTCGCATGCAGCTAAATCGAATTTCATGCATCCATGGCGGGTGGTCAAAATGAGTGACGAAAAGTCACTGGCGACTGGTTAGGGTTACTGTTCTTCGTGATTGATGCAGGATGCGGATGTGTTCCGCACATCTCGAGGCACGTTTTCTAAATGCGATTTAAGTTAACTACTTCCTGTCAAGTGCCTTTGATAACGTCAAAAGTTCTGTTACATTACTAAAAGTGGTAACCGAGCTGAAAATTTTTGTGAACGTGAACTTTTTCGGACCCCCCCCTAAATGCTAGATTAGGAAGGTGTAATTTGGTGTGTGGCTCTGGGAGAATGGACGTGCAGTCAGACAGCACCATGCTGCGCTGCTGTGCCCTGCTCCATGGGCTACTGCTTAGCTCTCTCATGCAATGCACTCGTCCATACCATGGCATGGCACGGCATGGCATGGCATGGCATGGCTTGGCACGGCATGGCATGGCATGGCATGGCACGGCATGGCATGGCACGGCACGGCATGGCATGGCACGGCACGGCACGGCACGGCACGGCACGGCACGGCACGGCACGGCACGGCATGGCATGGCATGGCATGGCATGGTATGGCATGGCATGGCATGGTATTGCATGGCACGGCATGGCAGGGTTCACGCTGGGCAGGGAGAGGCGCGTGGCGGAGGTGGAGGTGGATGCGGCTGGGCAGCACAGAGTGAAGGCTGGTGTTGAAGAATACTCGGTGCTCAAGACGACTCAGGTAAGGAGCAGCGGGGAGATGCGCAGCGGGGAGCAGCAGGTAAGGGCAGTAATGATACACTGCGGCAGGGAGATGCGCGAGGCTTCAGCAGCGGAGGTGGATGCAATGGGGCAGCGCCGAGTGAGGGCCGGCGTGGAGGAATTCTCGGTGCTCAAAAGCACTCCGGTGAGGCGCAGTGTGTGGGGGTTGAGAGAGCAGTGTGGGCAATGTAGGGGATGATACAGTGCAGTGGTCGTGGTTGGTGGCGGGCACTGATGTTAAAGGGCAGTGAGGAGAGTGTGAGGTTTGAGATCAGTAAGAGGGGAATGAGAGGGTTGTCGTGCTGACACGGTTGTGGATGGTGAAGGGAGCGGGGCAGCACAGTGTGAGGGTGGGCGTGGAGGAGTGGCCTGTGTGTGCTTGAGGACGAGACCACGGAGGAGAGGCAGAGGGGAGAGGGCTGTGAGGGGAGTGGGAGGGTTGAGGCAATCACCTGATTATGGATGGTGAGGGCAACGGCATTGCATTGTTTGCGTAGAATTCGAGACAGCGAATCTGATGCCATTAGTCTACACACCACACCACTCATTGTTTCTCTCCCTTCCTCTCTGCTTCTTTCACTGTGTCAATCCGTCTTTGAGGGCGTCGTCATCTCCCCATTGCCCTCCCCTTCACCTCCCTCCGTTCTTCCTTCCGGCACCCGTCCCTCTTCCACTTCACACTCTGCTTCAACCTCTCAACTTCCACCCTCTCACCTTCCACCCTCTCACCTTCCACCCTCTCACCTTCCACCCTCTCACCTTCCACCCTCTCACCTTCCACCGTCACATTTCTCCCCCAATCCGGCACCAGCAAGCCCATTCTCACTGATTTGGGTGCCACCCCTTCATCCCTGTTTCCCTTTCTCCCTTCTCTTCTTTCTCTCTGCTCTCCTTCCTCTCTGCTCCCCTTTCTCCGTGCTCCCAATTCTCTCTGCCCTCCTTTTTCCCTGCTCCCCTTTCTCTTCTACCCTCCTCTCTCTCTGCCCTCCTCTCTCCCTGTTCCCCTTTCTCTCTGCCCTCCTCTCTCCCTGTTCCCCTTTCTCTCTGCCCTCCTCTCTCCCTGCCCCCCTTTCTCTCTGCCCTCCTCTCTCCCTGTTCCCCTTTCTCTCTGCCCTCCTCTCTCCCATTTTCTCTCTGCTCCTCTTGTTTTCTCTACGTCTCTTTCCCTTTGCTCCCCTGCATCCTCCTCTCACTCCGGCTTTGAGGGTCTCATGCGCATCCAGAGCACGCCGCTGCCACACACAAGGAGCCACAGCCACATCGATTTCAGTGCTGTCCTTTGCCCACTGCTCTCTGCGCTCTGCTCTCTTCTCTCTGCTTGACTCCCCCCCTCAAATTCCCCAGTCCGGCTTTGAGGGTTTCGTACGCGATCAGAACACGCTGCTGCCAGACACAAGGGAGCGCATCCTTGCCACCACAGTGCAGGCCACGTGGAGGTGAGCAGTGAGTGCCACGTGGAGGTGAGCAGTGAGTGCCACGTGGAGGTGAGCAGTGAGTCCTACGTGGAGGTGAGGATATCCCTTCTCCACACCTCGCACTGTCTGTGCCACCCTGTATCTCTGACAACCCCTTTTTTCCTTCACCCCTCGCATGCTTCTTGCTGTGTGTCATATGTATGTGTGCCACACGATGAAGCTGCTCCCTCCCCTATGTATGAGCAGGGGAGAGAGCAGGTCAGGGGTCTCAACAGCTAAATAACCCCCTTCCACCCTCTCAAATGTTCCCATCCCCCACCCCCAGCTACTCGCGTGAGCCTCTGTGCGTCACTGCAGCCTACTCGGCGGCCAAGGCAGCCTTCACAGACTTTCACCCTGACCTGCTCTCTCCTCAACCAACCCTTCTGGTATTCCCTCAACTGTTCCCGCCCCTCCAGCTACTCGTGCGATCCCCCTGCTTCAATGCAGCCTACTCAGCGGCCAAGGCAGCCCTGACAGACACTTTCTTTGGCCCGCCCCAAGGGGGTGTGTACAGCCCCTCAGTGCAGCGCACGCTTTACCTCATGGGCGAGGAGGTGCTGTCAAGGTGAGATAGCTGTGATAAAGGGTGCTGGTACGCTCTACTCTTTGCACGCTCTATTCTCTAACGGTCCTCCTCTCTCTCCCAAGCTGAGGCAATGTGTGTATGGCACCCTCTGCTTCAATGCAGCCTTCTCAGCAGCCAAGGAAGCCCTCACAGACACCCTCTTTAGGCCACCTCAAGGAGGTGTCTACAGCCTCTCAGTGCAGTTCACGCTCTTCCCCATGGGTGAGCAGGTGCTGTCAAGGTGGGACCGGATGGGGAAGAGGGGCGTATGTGACACCTCATTTGGGCATGTCTCTCTAAGCTCACCTTATTTGTACTTATTTCTCTGTATCACGTTTTGCATGTACCTCCCTCACTGCATGCAATCCAGAGTGCCTCCTTTTCCATAGTGCCTCTTTTCACCTCTCTCGCCGCCCACACCCCATCAGAATGCCCGAGGCGGACAGCATGCCTTCACCTCTACAGTGCATCCCTGTCTATATCAAATCCCCTTGTTGTTTGTGTTGATATGTTATCTACGCCTCTCCCTCCGAATTTCGTTCCACATGCACCTCCCTCACCACCCACACAACACACCCATCAGAGTGCCAGAGGCGGACAGTGTGCATCTGAAGCTGCCCAATCTGCACTTCATCCCCATCAACCTGCCAGGCATCGGCCTCAAGGTGCGTTGCTGCTGTCCTGCTCCCACCACGAGCCATGACAGCCAAAGTGCGGACCACAGGCCAGGCCCCAAGTGCTGGTAGCACTGCATGGTGGTTCCCATCCCATGCCATGCGCTCACTTGGCTCTTCCCTTCCTCCCTCCCAGTCCGCCATCCACTTGTGAATGCGAGCCATTGCTCTCCCATGGACTCACTCACTCTCGCCTCACTGCCTTTACACTCCCCTCTCACTCTCTTGTCACTCCCCTCTCGCTCCCTTCTTCCTCCTCTCCCATTGCCCTCTCACTCTCCTCTCACTACCTTCTCAATCCTCCCTGTTTCCCACCCTGTGCATGCTTTCCCCCTCTTATCAGCATGAGGACGCCATGTACTCACCCACCAGCGACCCTCCTGATAGCATCGACACGTGTGTGGGACCCCTGCACACTCGCCCCCCACTTGCTTCACCTACTCCTCCCTGCACCCCCTCACCCTGCCCCCTATCACATCAGTTTGAGGACGATGTGTATCTGCCCACCAGCGAGCCCCACGGCAGCATTGAGGCGTGTGTCTCCCGCAAGACAGCAGCACTTACAGCAAGGCTTTAAGGCACAAGCGCCTGCAGCAAAGCGTTGAGGCAGCTGCGCCTGTAGCAAGGCTTTATGGCAGCATTGCGCACACATGGGGTCGAGACGCACATGACCCACACGCATCTCCGACGAGATACAAGCTGAGATACAACGACGAGATACAAGCTGCACGCATCTCCGTATCCCCCTCTCCCACACGCATCTCCTGGCCAAGAGCCCATAGCGCATGGGTTGTTGCAATGCAGTGTATACAGCATGCATTTATGGGCATCTGCTGCTGTATAGAGCGATCATGTACGGTTGTAGCATGATGTGTCACGTGCCAGTTTCTTTTACGTAGAACTCTGCACATGTACCATACTTTATTAAGTATATGTGCAACACTATGGTCAGTTGTTCGGATACAATCAGCACAGCAGGCATGTTTGGACAGTTGTTAAACGGTGCTCAACTGATCCACCACCACTCTGGTCACTCTAGACGGACCATGAAGCGATGATGATCGATCAACCATCATCCTCTCATCACGATGCCTCCTAAGGAAAAGATCAAGGCTCTGCCGGAGGCCTCGTCACTGGAAGCTCCTCCTCCATCACCTACTCCAGCCTCGATTGATCCTGCAAGCAAGGGCAAAGGCAAAGTTCCAGAGGAATCAAGCACCGCTCCTCCGGCTGAGCCGACTCGAAGATGACTCTGACGAGGAACTTGAAGTCGAAGTCAGGACGGAAGCCTTCTACCGTGCCTGCTACACTGCGACCCTGCTGCTTCCTGTGGCTCTCGCTTTGGAGGTGGCGTCTGTTATCACTACAGTGCGTACCTTGATGAGGCGTGTCTGGTCGTCCACGCTTTCCGCTGAGGCTGTCGAGACGGGCGAAGTTTCAAGAACTCCTACCGGCTTACGTAACGAAAACTCGATACTGCCATCTGCAAGTCTCCCTCCTGGCGAAGAAGACATCATGAGCATCGGATCCAAGGAGGTTGACTACACGTGGCCTAACGGCACGGTACTCCGGCTCTACTGGCAGCACATCGACGACCCTGCTTTCGTGGTGAGGAACAGAGGTGGTCGCCTCCGCCACCCCAATTGAACAGCGTTTCGAACCCCTCTCTGCTCCCCACCATCCTCCCCGCAGCTCTCTACCCAGCATCTGCCCCTGTTCCCCCCATCCTCTTCCCTGTTTCCCCGTTTCCCCTGCCGTGCTTCCACCCATCCTATCCCCTCTTGCCCCGTATCCCCTGTCCTGCTTCCCGCCATCCCCTTCCCTGCTTCCCCCCATCCCTCCCCCCTGCTTCCCCCCATCCCCTTCCCTGCTTCCCCCCATCCCCTTCCCTGCTTCCCCCCGTCCCTTGCCCTTTTTTCCCCCAACCCCTTCCCTGCTCCCCCCCATCCCCTTCCCTGCTTCCCCCCATCCCTTGCCCTTCTTTCCCCCAACCCCTTCCCTGCTCCCCCTCATCCGCTTCCCTGCTTCCCCCCATCCCCTTCCCTGCTTCCCCCCATCCCCTTCCCTGCTTTCCCCCATCCCCTTCCCTGCTTCCCCCCATCTGCTGCCCTCCTTTCCCCCATCCCCTTCCCTGCTTCCCCCCATCCTTCTCCCTGCTTCCCCCCATCCCTCCCCCTGCTTCCCCCCACCCCCTTCCCTGCTTCCCCTCATTCCCTTCCCTGCTTCCCCCCATCCCCTGCCCTGCTTCCCCCCATCCCCTTCCCTGCTTCCCCCCATCCCCTGCCCTGCTTCCCCCCATCCCCTTCCCTGCTTTCCCCCATCCCCTTCCCTGCTTCCCCATCCCCTTCCCTGCTTTCCCCCATCCCCTTCCCTGCTTTCCCCCATCCCCTTCCCTGCTTCTACCCATCCCCTCCCCTGCTTCTCCCCATCCCCTCCCCTGCTTCCCCCCATCCTCTTCCCTACTTCCCCCCATCCCCTTCCCTGTTTCCTACCATCACTCTCATTCTCCTTCCTCCCTCCCACACTCACTCTCTCAGTCCTCTCGCACTCTCTCTCTCTCCATCCTCTCGCACTCGCACTCTCCTTCCCCTCACCCTCTGTCCTGTTCCCACCTGCCCTCCCCATCCCTGTCTTTCCCTCCCTGCCCTGCCCTTCCCTTCTCCATCACTTCTCAACCCTTCCATTCCTTTTCGTGCCCTCCCCCTTCCCCCTCACCTTCCGCCCTCTAGTTCCCATGCATGTGCACCCATCATTGTCTCCCCATACATGCTTCCTTCATGTGCCCTTGCTTGTGTTCCCCTGCAGTTGTTCCCTTGGCACCTCACACCACCTCCCCCATGTTCCTTCACACAATCCATTCTGCCTACTCCACTCCCCATTTTTTCAGTGGTGAAGCAGATGAGCAAGTTGAGGCGCAGCTGGAGCTAGTCCATGCTTTACACCGTACCACCACCTGTTTCTTGTGTGTTGTATGCCAGCATGATACTGTATTACTGTAGGAGATATCTATCTCAAAGGCAAAATATGTACTTTTGTTTCTACTTGCAAAATATTCTTCCAAGATGCATGGACACTACCACAAGAGTGTCAGAAGGGTAGATAGAGGCATGATCCTAATACTTTTGATTGTACCTTTCTCAAGGCCTTGAAAAAAACGTGAGAGGACCTGGTTTCTCTACGAGTGTGGCATGGGATGATGGCCTTCGGCGAGTTGTTGCGTCAGAAAATTCTTCAGTGTAGTCACTGCAATTGCCAGGTAGAGGGAGAGAATACGAAGGACGGGGAGGGGGAACAAGAATAATACTCAATCAGGGAAGATAGGGTAGAGGGGGAAGAGGGAAGCAGGGGGAGATAGGAAGATGTGAGAGGGAAAGGGGATAGGAAGAGGGGGGGTGAGGAAAAGGAGGAGATAGGAAGAGGGTGAGAGGGAAAGAAGGAAATACAGTAGGAAGAGGGAGGATAGGGAAGAGGGGAGATAGGAAGAGGGGGAGCGGGAAAGCGGGAAATAGGAAGATGAAACCAAGGGAAGAAGAGAGGGAAACGAGGGGAAGCAGGGGTGGAAACGAGGAGAAACAGAGGGGAAGCAAATGGCCAGCTGCGCCTGGCCGACATGGGCGACGGCGACGACAATGAGCAGCAGTAGGTGCCATGCCCTCTTGCATGGCTGGTGCGGTGACCGGCGTGCTGTGTGTTGGGTGTACGACGACGGGCTATTCTCCGAGTGGTACTGCCGTGGAGGCTGGGGGCCCAAGCGTGAACGCAGCAGGGGAGTGTCAACGAGAGTTGTGTTAGGCCCCGTCCTCGCTTGGGCGGAGCCGACCTCGTGGTCGGGTGTACGGGGGAGTGCAGCCGACCTGCAACAGTGGGCGAGCTGGTCGACCTGCGCGGGGGCCACTACACTGGCGCCGACTTCAGGGCGCCGACTTTGGGGTGGTCGACTTGGTGGTCGACCTGACCTGGTGGTCGACGAAGGAGGGGCCGACGTCGACCTCGACAGGGGAGGCTCAGGACGCCGAGCAGCTGGGCGTCGAGTAGCAGGGCGTCGACTTGGGGAAGCCGACTTCGGGTAGCCGACTAGATGTGGTCGGCTGATTGGTGCACTGGTCGACGTGGAGCTGGTCGACCAGAAGTGCTGTCGACCTGGAGCTGGTCAACCTGGGGAGAGGTCGACCTGGTGAGGTCGACTGGAGGTGGTCGTCGAGCTGGGTGGTCGACGGGCACGTGAACCAGGTGCTGGTCGACCAGGCGTGGTTGCCCGGTCGTCCGGGATGCCCGGGCGACGGGCGCGAGGGTCGCCAGGGCGACTTCTTCGAGGCCGACCTCGGGGGTATCTTCTGAGGTTGACGTGGCTGGTGGGCGCAGTCGCTGGCGTGGAGTCGACCTAGGCGTCTTCGCTGTGCTCGTGACGAGGAGTGGCGTACCAACCAGCTGCGTGCACCTGCGAAACATGTGCTTCGTTGTCCTACGGGTGCAACGCAATGCAGCCGACTTGCTGCAGCGTTGGCACACCGTGGACTTGCAGCGTTGGCAAGCCGCCACTATGCTCTGCTTGAGCGTGGTCGACCAGGTCGTGCTAGCAGGCGTGTGTCAGCACTCGTCCGCAGTACCTGTCGAGGACCGTCCCTCCCTAGCCCGTAGTGATCTCCAGTTTTACACGGTGGGACTCATGCCTGGGAGAGACTTTTCAGCAGCTTTTAGCGTCAGGGGCCTGGGCTTGTCGCGAGGACGTTCGAGAGGCCGCCCTAGACCAGATCTTCCTCCCCATCCGTCTTGGAGGCTTTGGCATTCGTCGCATGGCGCGCATTGCCCCGGTGAGTTACGTGTGCTCTTGGGTGCAGTGTGCACCCATTCTCTGTTCTCTCCCTGCATGTGGCGAGGTGTTTTGGCAGAGCTTCGCTTCAGGTGAGCCAGAGGAGATCGACCCGGCTCTGCAGACGGCACTAGAGGGTCTACCACCTGACGTTCTCTCTCTCCTTCCCTCCTGGCCATCTTGCGGTTCTGCCTCCCCTGATTCCCTTTTTGCAGGAGAGAGCCGCCTTCTGGAGGCGCATGCTTTGGAGGCAATGCGTGCCCGTCACACCTCTCCCTTGCACCTTGCCCGTTTGACTTCCCTTCAGGGCGGAGGCGCAGGAGCGTGGTTGCAGTCGGTGCCGTACGCCGATCCATTGCGCTTCTCGGAGGCGCAGTGGCAGGTGGCTTCATCATCTCGTCTTGGTCTCCCTATCCCCTAGTTAGCCCTTGCAGGTCAGTGCTCTTGTGGGCAGGCGATCGACGACATGACGGTGCCTCATCACGCGGTTCGGTGCCCACGATTCGGTGTCGCCACGACCATCCACGACATGGTGAAGTTCATGCTTCGAGACTTTGCGGTCGAGGCGGGCTTCGGGGTGAAGGTGGAAGACTCTACGCTGTTCACACAGTTGGAGGCGGCTTGAGCGAGACTGCAGGGACAGCCGGTGGTGGGAGAGGGGACACAGGCTGAGGGACCGGTGGAGCAGAGGGGCGAGGCAAGACAGCCGGATGACGGGGGGCAATGGGGACAGCATCAGCTGCGGGGTCGGGTGGCGCGAGGGACAAGTGGGCAGAGGGGACGACAGGGGGAGCAGACGGGCCAGGGGATTGAGCAGGGGGGTTGGGAGGGTTGGGGGAGGGTAGAGAGGGGGAGGGAAGAGGACAGATGGGTGGAGGAGAGGAGAGGGGGAGAGAGACGACCGGAGAGGAGGCACCCACGGACCAGACAGGGCAGCAGCCAGCGCAGCAGCAGGGACCAGTCGGACGCACAAGCCGTGTAGGCACCTCCTCCTGCATCCCAGACCTCACCTGCCGCGACGTCGGGCAGAGTTTGATGGTTCTTGTGGATGTCTCCATAGCGGATCCACAGAGGGAGGGGAACGTACAGCTGAGACAAGCGACCCCCACACAGATTGTTTTGGCAGCAGCTAGGCCGGTGCAGTAGAAGCTGCGTCACTGGGGGCCGCACTTAGTGGGGTTGCAGCCAGCACCACACTTTACGAGTGCGTGGCTGAGACCTTTGGGGCAAGCCGCTGCGTCAATTTCTGGGGCTCTGCGCAAAGAGGATAGCACAGCGGAGGAGGGACAGGGGAGGGGGGGATGACGGATCGGCACGGATATTGAGGACGCCTCTCCGTGGCACTGCACTGCGCGCAGGCTTAATGCATCATCCAGCATGCGGTGCGGCATGTGGGGGGATCCGACAATGAGTGGATGCCCGCACCAGTCCCACTGAGTGCGGGGCAGGGTACCTGGCACCACACCACAGGGTGCTTCGAGAGTGTTGCCGACATGCAATATATATATAATGCATATGTACAATAGTGGCTGTGCTTGAAGCGCTGTGCCCGCGCTGTCGTGCGGGTTGCTGCCGTGTTTGGTCCCTAGTTGCTTCCTCCTCCTGAGTCTCTTTCACTCTCTCATCTTCTCTTCCCACCTCCCTCTTTCTTTTCCCTTCTTCTATGATTCTCTGCTCTTCCTACCACTCTCTTGTTTTCCCTACTTCTTCTTAAAACTCCTTAATCCTTTCTTCTTCTTTATTTCCCATATTCCCTACCAACAGTATATACACACACACACATACACACACACACACACACACACACACACACACACACACACACACACACACACACACACACACACACACACACACACACACACACACACACACACACACACACACACACACACACACACACACACACACACACACACACACATACACACACACACACACATACACACACACACACACACACACACACACACACACACACACATATATATACAGTCCTCATAGAGGTTTGGTCATGTCGAAATATCCTACTCCTGAAAAAACCATAATATTCGGCTTGTATTTGTTTATTTCCCAATTAATGAATAACTGCTCTCGCCCACCGGTGCTTAGCTTCGGAGTTCTGATGGGATCCGGCGTAGTAGCTGAGGTCTGATCGTACCACGTCAATCCCGTGCCCCAACCGGTACACACCCCTTGCCCAGGTCCCCCCTTCATAGTCACACCCCCTGCCCCTCATGCCATCCGCTCCCCCCGCCCCTAACCTCCGCGTGCCCGCTCCCTCGCCGCCTCTTTTGACCCTTCCTGCCCCCCTCGCCGCCTCTTTTGACCCTCCCTGCCCCCCTCGCCGCTTCCCACCGCCCGCCATTCGTTCCTCCCCGCCAGTGCCCTCCCCTCGTTTACCTTCTCCTCCCCCCTCCCCTCATCTGCTGCACGCTTCTTCCTTCCCCTCGCTAACCTACTCCGCTCCCTGCCCCTCCTCTATCCGCACCCTGCCCCTCGTTTTTCGTCCCCCTGCGCTTGCTTTCTCCCCTCCCTGCCCCTCGCTGCCTTTCTCCGCTCCCCTCCTCCCCTCTCTCCCCGGCCCCCCACTCTCGCCCCCTTGTCCTTGGCTTCCCACCTCGCTGCCCCACGTTTCCCCCCTCCTTGTGCTCAGCGTCTCCCCTCCCTGCTTTCTCCCTCCTCCCCGCCCTGCCCCTCATTTTCCGCCCCCCCACGCCCGGTTTCTCCCCTCCCTGCATCTCCCTATCTTTCCCCGTCCCTCTCCTTTGTTCCCTCCCTGCCCCTGGCCGTCCATGCCCCTGTCCTTTGTTTCTCCCCTCCCTGCCCGACGTTTCTTTCCTCCCTGAGCTTACCTTGTACCCTCTCTGCCCCTCCTTTGTTTTACCCACACCCATCGCTTCTGCCCTCCCTCCCCTTGTTTTCACGCACCCCTGCCCTTGTTTCCTGCCCTTGTTTCTGCCCCTCGTTTCCCCCCTTTGTACGTTCAGCCTCTTCCCTCCCTGCCCCTCCCTTCCTCCCCCCCCGCTCTTTGCCTTTTCCACACTACGCTGCCTTCTCCCCCTCCCTGCTGCCCTCTTACCACCATCAGCCCATCCACTCCCCCAGCCCCCCTCCCCACCGTCACTCCCCCCCCCTCTCCCCCCCCTCCCCTCTCTCTCTCTCTCTCCCTCTCGCTGTCCCTCTCTCTCCCTCACTCTCTCTCTTCCCTTCCCCCCCCACCCCCCACCCACATCCTCCCATTCTGCCCCTCCTCGTCCCTGTTCCACCCCCTCGCACGCCCCTCACCTCCCACCTCCGTGCAACCGGTTTCCCCCCTTTGGTGCCACCCTTGCATCGCTCGCCCCTCTGCTCACCCCTCTGCCCGCCCCTTTTCCTTGCCCTCAGCTGGCCCAGCCCTTGCCCGTTGCTGCATCTCCCCTTGCCCCCTCAACTCCCCTGCCCCCCGTACACTCCAGTCCCATCCAAACGCCCCCACTCTCCTCCGGCTGCCCATTTTTGCTCTCCACCCTGGCGACCGTGTGCGGCTTCCAACCGCCCAACGGTGGTGCGCATGGGGCGTTTCTTCGCACGAGCAAGCCTCCGCGGGGGACCCCACTCCGCGGAGTCATTGTTCGGGCAAAAACAAGAGAATAAAAAAATCGGACGCTCTAAAATCATCCTTTCTTTTTTCCGCTTGCCCCTCCCCGGTACATGCCGAGCAAGGGGCACAAATGGGTACAAAACGAGGACTTCCCGGGAGGTCACCCAATTTAGTATTGCTCTCGCCCACCGGCGCTCTTACCTTGACCTAGTTCTTACCTACTAAGCTAGCCTCGTAAGGAGGCTCCTAAGCCTACAATTTCGAGTTGCCTAAGGACAAGGCGACTGTGATAGTAGTGTCTATTAATAAGGAGTTTTAACGATTCAATTTTTACTTTACGACGGTCGAGTTCGACGGGACGGGGGTCACGACTTCCTTGCGCGACCCTCGCGACCTCCGGAAACGGAACTAGCGGGGTGTTACGGAATCGCTTTCTCGACCCCGCTATCGCGGGGAGGTTGCGGACGCGCTACAGCTGGAGTAACCTGAGGTTGTGCGTCGACGCAAAGTTCGCCCGCGGAGGTAATAGCGTGCACGGATCACTTCTCCAACTCCGCCAGACACGGTGTTCCCGCCCATCCCCTCTCTCAACACCCGCTCCTATCCCCCCTCTGCATTTCCATTCGGAGTGATTACTAGCTGTTCCTCCCACGGCTTTTCTCTTTCTAAGTGACTGAGCGTAGCTTCCGCTCGTAGTTAGCATTCACGATCTACACCGTCGATACGCACACTTCCTCCCCGTTTCGTGCGCCCTTCTTAATCGAAACCCTAATCTGAAAAGCTGCGCGTTTCTTGCACGCTTTCTCATCGCTTGTCGTCCTTCCTTAGTCGCGCATGTCAAAGTATATATATGCTATATATGTTTAGGCTGTAGTGGGGTAGCCAATATGGGGTACAGCCCCTTTTAGGGTTTCATACTTGTACCCAACCCTTTCATAGTTCATTCATTCCTGCTGCTAGATTCTGACATGGTATCAGAGCACTAGGTCCGTAGGACCGTTTTTTTTCGGGCCCACCTACCGTTGCGGTTACCGCGCTACCCCACGTGTTGTCCTGCGCCTGCCTGCCTGCCTGCCTGCCCTGCCTTGTGACGTGCTGCGCTACGCGCGCCAACCTGCAGCCCTCGCGCTGCCTCCTGCTGCCCTAGGCCAGCGCGCCGCCCCTGCAGGCTCGTAAGGCCCACACGCCGCCTCTACAGACCCGTCAGGCCCACGAGCCGCCCCTGCAGGCCCGTCAGGCCCACGAGCCGCCCCTGCAGGCCCGTCAGGCCAGAACGCGGCCCCGCCCTGCCTCTGACGCGGCCGCGCCCAGCCTCTGACACGGCCGCGCCCTGCCTTCGACGCGGCCGCGCCCTGCCTTCGACGCGGCCGCGCCCTGCAGCCGTCGCGGCCGCGCCCAGCCTCTGACGCGGCCGCGCCCTGCCTTCGACGCGGCCGCGCCCTGCCTTCGACGCGGCCGCACCCTGTCTTCGACGCGGCCGCGCCCTGCAGTCGTCGCAGCCGCGCCCAGCCTCTGACGCGGCCGCACCCTGCCTTCGATGCGGCCGCGCCCTGCGTGCTGCAGCCCCGCGCGTCGCGCTGCAGCCTCGCGCATCGCGCTGCAGCCCCGCGCGTCGCGTCAGCTGCCCGCACGTCGCGCTGCAGCCCCGCGCGCCGCGGCTGCCGTCCTCGCACAGCCCGCGGCGGCTTCGCGCGCCGCGCCCCCAGCTCGTATTGCGTGCTGCAGGCCCGCGCGCCGCGGCTGCCCCTATACCAGCTACGCCGCCCCTGGTGCAGCCGCCCCTGGACCCTCGAGCAGCCGCCCCTGGACCCAGAGCAGCCGTCCCTGGCCCCTGAAGCAGCCGCCCCTGGTGCAGCCGCCCCCGGACCTTCGAGCAGCTGCCCCTGGACCCAGAGCAGCCACCCCTGGCCCCTGCAGCAGCCGCCCCTGGTGCAGCCGCCCCTGGACCCTCGAGCAGCCGCCCCTGGACCCACGACGCCGCCCCTGGGCCCCGTGCAGCCGCCCGCCGAGCGCCGGCCCTGCTCACCCGGCGAGCGCCTGCTCTTCCCGCCACTGGTGAGCACTTGCCTTGTTAGCGCGCTGCCGCGCCATCTGCCTGCCTGCCTGCCTGCCAGCCTGCCTGCCTGCCTGCCTGTCTGCCTGCCTGCCTGCCGCGCCTGCCCTGCCCGTGCTGCTACTTCTGCTACTACTTCTAGGCTACTGCTACTGCTACTGCTGCTACTGGCGGTGGCCAGATGCAGCTCCAGCGACGTCCGCGCGAGTCTCTTACGCCCCAGCATCTTCGTGAGTGGTACGCTAGTTGGGGTTGTGGTGGTAGCTGTCGTAGCTGTCGCCCTGGAGCTGGTCAGTTGGGAGCGTCTGGCGGTGGCCAGCTGCAGCTGCAGCGGCGTCCACGCGAGACACTTACGTCCCAGTAGCTTCACGAGTGGTACGCTCAGAGTAGAGGGTCTTTGAGTACCGTTCGCTGCCCGTACGTCATTCGCACAGGTGATCGGACGGGTCAGGCTTGCGGGACGCTTAGTCACACCCAGTCCCGCCGCTTCGCCCGTCTGAGCGACGTCTGGCGTACCGAGTTTGGCGACGAGGCTGAGCTCCCCGACTGGGTGGAGCTGCTTCGACAGAGGGTAGATATCTATACTCTTGACTATGATGCTATTCTCACTGCCATGTATGCATTGCCTACTAGTGTTGACCGTGCCTGTTACCTGTGCGTACCGCCTGACCCAGGTATAGAACCTGCTGCTCTTGGTGCTGGTGAGGCTGCTGCTCTAGGTGCTAGTGCGTCTCCTGCTCTGGGTACTGGTGAGGCTGCTGCTCCAGGTGCTGGTGAGTCTGCTCTCTCTGGTACTGCGCCTGCTGAGGCCTTGTACACCTTCACACTTGACTCAGGTGCTTCCCGCTCCTTCTTTCGCGACAGCACCACCCTCACGCCGCTCAGCCGGCCGGTTCCAGTCTCCGTGGCAGACCCCTCTGGGGGTCCAGTCCTTGCGCACTCCTCCACGGTCCTGCCGTGTCCTGCAGTCCCGTCTGGCTCCCTGTCAGGTCTTCACCTCCCCTCGTTCTCTACGAACTTGGTGAGTGGTGCTGACCTCCAGGACCAGTGGGTTGACCAGTTCACTCCTGGAGGTCAGCGCGTGACCTACTGTACGTGCTCCCGGACTGGCCGGCACCTGGCCACGTTTACCCGTGCGCCTGGCTCGAGTTTGTACACACTGTGTCCCCTCAGGTCGTTGCGTCTGCGTCTGCGTCAGGTCAGCTAGCGGCCCCCTGCTCGTGTCGCGCTTTGTCGCACCAGACCCTCCTTTGGCACCACCGCCTTGGTCACCCCTCGGTGCAGCGCCTTCGTAGCATGCACCGCCGTGTCCTTGTCTCTGGTCTTCCCAGGGTTCTCCCTCCCCTCCCACCCTCGCCTGCTCCTCCCTGTCTTCCCTGTGTCGAGGGGCGGCAGCGCGCCGCTCCTCACTCCTCCTCGTTCCCTCCCACAGAGGCTCCCCTGCAGACTCTCCACCTGGACGTGTGGGGCCCAGCCCGCGTCCGTGGACAGGGCCATGAGCGGTACTTCCTGCTGGTCGTCGACGACTACACGCGTTACACCACGGTCTTCCCCTTGCAGCGCAAGGGGGATGTCCCTGATGTTTTGATCCCCTGGATCCGCGCTGTTCGTCTCCAGCTCCGCGAGCGGTTCCAGTCGGACTTTCCTGTCCTGCGTCTGCACTCTGACAGAGGTGGTGAGTTCTCCTCAGACCTCTTGGCAGCCTTCTGTGCCGAGCACGGCATCCGCCAGACGTTCACGCTTCCGGCCTCTCCGCAGCAGAATGGGGTTGCTGAGCGCCGCATTGGCTTAGTCATGGAGGTCGCTCGTACCTCCATGATCCATGCGGCTGCCCCCCATTTTCTGTGGCCGTTTGCGGTCCGGTACGCCGCACATCAGCTCAACCTCTGGCCCCGTGTCTCCTTGCCGGAGACCTCGCCCACACTGCTGTGGACGGGGAAGGTTGGCGATGCGTCGCGTTTCCGGGTCTGGGGTGCTCGTGCCTTTGTCCGCGATACCACCGCGGACAAGCTCTCCGCACGCGCTGTTCCCTGTGTCTTCCTTGGCTTTGTCCCTGACGCGCCTGGTTGGCAGTTTTACCACCCCACCTCACGCCGTGTCTTCCCCTCTCAGGACGTCACGTTCGACGAGTCGGTTCCCTTTTACCGTCTCTTCCCCTACCGCACTGCCCCTCTCCCCCCCCCGCCGCTCTTCCTCGCTCCAGGTGCTCCCCAGGTAGACCCCCTCCCCGCTCCCGGTCCTGCTCCTTCAGGTGTGTCTCAGGTAGACCCTCCCCCCTTGACTGCGCCGGTTGAGGTCACTGGTGACTCAGGTCCTGCTGAGGGTCGTCCTGCTCGGGGTGCTGCTTCTGGGGGTGCTGAGCCTGGGGGTTCGGAGCCTGGGGGTGCTGAGACTGGGGGTGCGGAGCCTGGGGGTGCTGAGCCTCGGGGTGCGGAGCCTGGAGGTGCGGAGCCTGGGGGTGCGGAGACTGGAGGTACTGAGCCTGGGCGTACTGAGTCTGGGGGTGCTGCACCTGGAGACGCTGAGGCGTCTGGTGAGCAGTCTCCCTGGAGCGGCCGTCTGCGTAGTCGCTCTGCTGGTGCCTCACCGCTGCTCTCTTGTCGTCGACTCCCTCTCTCCCCACAGCAGCTGAGTGAGTGGTACGCTAGCCGTCTGGTTCACGCTGCTGGAGCTAGGGGCCCTGCTGCGGGAGGCGCTGGTGCTGGTGACTCTGCTACTGGAGTTGTTTCTGCTGGAGGTTCTGGAGCCGCTGAGGGTGCTGGAGCTAGAGGTTCGGGAGCTGCTGGTGGTGCTGGAGCTGGAGGTTCTGGAGCTACTGCGGGTGCTGACGCTGAGGGTTCTGAGTCTGCTGTTGCGCGGTCTCCTTGGAGTAGCCGCCTTCGTCCGCGTGTACCTCTCACCTCACATCAGCTGCACGACTGGTACGGTCGCCGTCAGGGTCGTGCTTCTAGAGCTCGGGGCTCTGCCGCTGGAGGTACTTCTGCTGACGTCGCTGGAGCTGGGAGTGGTGCTGGTCCCGGAGGTGCTCGTACTGGAGGTACTGGAGCTGCTGGGGCTAGAGGTGCTGAGCCTGGGGGTGCTGCTGCTGGTGGAGCTGGTCCTGGAGGAGCTGGCGCTGAGGGTTCTGGAGCTGCTGGAGGTGCTGGAGCTGCTGGGGGTGCTGGAGCTGCTGGTGCTGGTGGCACTGCACAGCCCCGCCTGTTCCTTGCTCCACCGTCTCCGTCGTCTCAGCCACCGTCTGCCTCTGTGCGTCGCCAGGTTCTTAGTCTCCCTTCGTCTACTGGTCTTCCGTTACAGCCTGGCTCACCGCTGCCTGCTCCTTCTCCTTACACTGAGCAGACGGGGGGTCTTACTGAGCGTCGTGAGCCTGCGTCGCGTCCTGTCTCGCCTGTCCGTCCTGGTCGTTCCGGTAGTCGTGTTCCTCGTTCGCGTCAGCCGGCTGTCACCGGCACCCACCTCGTAGTCCGTCGTCCTTCCTCTCCTCCGCGGCGTGTTCCCCTGCCGTCCCCTCCTGCGTCTTCTCTGCCTACCATTCCTGAGCCTGAGTCTGACCGCACCCGTGCTGCTCACCCTACTGTCACGCGCCTGCTCGCCACAGTTGTCACTGACCCGTCGTTTGAGTCTGCTGCTGCGTCTGCCTTAGTCGCTGAGCTTGTTGACTTTGCTGCTGCCTGTCGTCTAGAATACGCCGCTGGTCTGGTTGCTGAGTCTGAGTCTGTCTGTCCTCCGTCCGTCGGGAGTGAGTGTGCTCTTGGCACGGACGTCCTTGAGGACAGGCAGTAGGACCTTGAGTGTCTTGCAGCCGCTGCGCCTCATCTCGTGTCCATGCTGCTTGCCCCTGAGGGAGACCCGGATGCTCCAGACATCCCGACCCCGCGCTCTTACGCTGAGGCGATCGCGGGTGAGTACTCCTCTCAGTGGCAGACAGCCATGGACGCAGAGATGGCATCCTGGAAGTCCACAGACACCTACGTCGACGAGGTTCCCCCTCCTGGGGCGAACATCGTCAGTGGCATGTGGATTTCCAGGGTGAAGCGGCCGCCAGGTTCTCCGCCTGTCTTCAAGGCTCGTTACGTTGCTCGAGGCTTCAGTCAGCGGGAGGGAGTCGACTTCTTCCAGACCTTCTCCCCCACCCCGAAGATGACCACTCTTCGGGTACTGCTGCACGTTGCCGCTCAGCGTGACTACGAGCTTCACTCTCTTGACTTCAACACAGCCTTCTTACAGGGCAGCCTGCACGAGGAGATCTGGCTGCGCCGTCCACCTGGCTTCACTGGTTCGTTCCCTCCTGGTACCCAGTGGAGCCTCCGGCGGCCAGTCTACGGTCTCCGCCAGGCGCCGCGTGAGTGGCACGACACACTGAGGAAGACACTTGCGGCTCTTGGGTTTGCTCCGTCGACTGCTGACTCGTCGCTGTTTCTGCGCACCGACATTTCGCTGCCGCCGTTCTACATCCTCGTGTACGTCGACGACTTGGTCTTTGCCACTGCTGACACTGAGGCTCTCGCTCTGGTGAAGTCGGAGCTGCAGAAGAGACACACGTGCACAGACCTGGGTGAACTGCGCAGCTACCTTGGCTTGCAGATCACCCGGGACAGAGCACGCCGCACCATCACACTGACTCAGTCACACATGGTGCAGCACGTCCTTCAGCGCTTCAACTTCACCTGGTCCTCGGCACAGGCCACTCCTCTTGCGACAGGTCACTCGCTCTCAGCTCCACCTTCGGACGAGTCCGTAGAGCCGAGTGGTCCTTACCCAGAGCTAGTGGGCTGCCTCATGTACCTGATGACCTGCACTCGTCCTGACCTTGCGTACCCTCTTGGCCTTCTGGCTTGCTACGTGGCTCCTGGTCGGCACCGAAAGGTGCACATGGATGCTGCTAAGAGGGTAGTACGCTACTTGTGCAGTACATCGGGCATGGGGCTCGTGCTTGGAGGACGGAGCGACGTTGTCCTCACTGGGCACTCAGACGCTTCTTGGGTTGACGACCAGGCTACGCAGCGGTCGTCACAGGGTTACACCTTCAGCCTTGGCTCTGGTTCAGTTTCTTGGCGTTCTACACGCTCGTCTTCAGTTCTCAGCTCCAGTTGTGAGGCTGAGATCTACGCCACAGCCATGGCTGCACAGGAGTTACGCTAGCTTACCTACCTGCTGACCGACCTGGGAGAGCGGCCTCGTTCTCCTCCAGTGCTGTACGTTGACAACAAGGCCGCCATTGCCTTGTGTTAGGAGCATAGACTGGAGCACAGAACAAAGCACATCGCTCTGCGTTACTTCCTGGCTCGAGAGTTGCAGCAGCGTGGTCAGCTTCGTCTTGCTCACGTGGCCACTCGGGCCAACACTGCTGATATATTCACCAAGGCACTTCCGTCTGGTGATCATCAGCGTTTCTGCACTTTGTTAGGCCTTGTGCCCACTTTTCCTCACTTGCTGTAGACTTTGCTTGTACTGTGATCTATGTATTTATACCTGCATGCTTGTTCTGCTAGGTAGAAATCACTGTACTGCTGTTGTTGCATATATACCTCTGCATGTGAACTGGCCTTGTGGCCCTTTGCTTGTGCTCAGTGTGTGTGGTGACGTTGTGATCCACCCTGAGCTTGCTTTGCTTCTCTTGACTGGTCTTGTGACCCCTTGCTCTCCCCCACTTTGCCTATGGGGGTGTGTCAAAGTATATATATGCTATATATGTTTAGGCTGTAGTGGGGTAGCCAATATGGGGTACAACCCCTTTTAGGGTTTCATACTTGTACCCAACCCTTTCATAGTTCATTCATTCCTGCTGCTAGATTCTGACAGCGCACTCGTTTTCCGGCCCGTTTAATATAGTCGAGACCTAACCCTAATCGCGCACGGGGTGTTTATCGCCACGGAACGGCAGTGCGGAAGGAGGCGAAATTGCTACGTTCGTAGCGATTAAGCGGCCCTCCACTTCCGCCAGTTGCGCTTTGACATTTGCGCCTCCCGAAGCGCGTATTCTGCTTAGCGCGTTTTAGCTGCCCACGCTTTGCACACAAGCCGCCCCATTCCCTCTTTACTCGCGACCTCCCTGCCAGGCCTCGTCGCACGCTCGCGTATGCCATTCTTCCTTGTCGTACTCTTACCCGCCGTCACCCACATAATCACTTTCTTGCTCACACCGCCCCTTCCCCCCTTCGCACGTGCGCTTCAGCCACCCCGCCGCCTGACCTCTATCTTTCCCTTACAGCGCTTAGCTAGAGGGAGCTCTGGAAACCGTAGGAAAAAACAGAAAATAGAACTAAAAGAAAAAAGGAAAAGAAAAAATCATAAGATAAAACAGGAACAAAGAAAACAAACCAGTAAGCCAGCTTATACTTTCTTCTCCCCTTCCCCCCAGGACCTCATCCAGTCCGCCATCCCCCCTTTCTATTCCGACACACTGCACCACACCCTTCCCTTTTGTCCACCACCATTACCGCCCCTTCCCCCCACTTCCCCACCAGGGCCTCCAGCAGGCTTTTCTCCCTCCAGTCCCCTGTCTCCCTGCCCCCAGTACCTCCATGCACTGTCTTTTACCACCTTTGGTCCCACTCCGTACCACCTCCCCCCTCCCCTCCCAGGTCCTCCCTATCACCACCCACATGTTCCGCCAGTTCCCTGGCCACACCATACCTCCCCCACCCCCACTCCCGCAGTCCCCACTTCCAAATTGCCCTCCACACCTCTACGAGCCGTACTCTCCCCTCCAACCTCCCTTTCCCCCTCAGCGCCTCCCGTATCCAGCAGGGGCTGCACGTCTGCTTTCTGTCCTACCAGGCCCTTTGGTGACCGACCTGCCGTCACCTGGCTCCACACTGCTTTTCCCACCCCCAGCAGCACTCTACACCCCTTGTCCTTGCTCCCTGTGCCGTCCAGCCCCCCTCCCCAACCCCCCTCCGCCATCTCTTTGGCCAGTTCCAACGGCACTCCCTCCCCCCTGGGGTCCACCCCTCCGCACTTATCACCCATCACGATCTCCCTGTCCCCCCCTGCCCCTTGCGTTCCAGCCCCCAATTCTCTTTGCCATCGTCCACAGCTCCTCTTTCCGCTGCCCCCTCTGCCCTCCCACGCTCACACTTCTCGCCCCTCATCCATTCCAATACCCATTGCCAGGCCTACGCCAGCTCTGCCACCCATCCCCTCACCAACTACCCTGTCTCCCTCCCTCCCTGCCACCCCACCCCCTCTGCCCCCCCTGCTTCACTCGTCCGTCCACACTACCCCTTGAACTCTGTTCCCCCCTTCCCTCTTCAGCCCTAGCACCCTCCCCCACACCCCGCTCTCCCCCCACCCCATTACCCCCTCTCCCCCACCCTCCCTGCTACCAGCCACAACTACCACTACCTCTGGTCTCTCACCCCCTCCAACAGGCTGCCCCCTCCTACCCTCCTTCCAGTCCACTCCCCAACCCCCTCCACCCCACCCCACTGTCCCCCTCCCACGGACACCGATACCCCCCGCTACTTTAACCTCTCTTTACAATCTTCCTCCGACACCCCGCCTCCCTTCAGGGCACTACCAGCCGGTACCCAAGCCGTCACTAACCTTTTCTCTCTTCTTTCTGCCCACGGCTACCCTCTAGGTACTTTGTTTTTTCACCCCTCCTCTCACCCTGCTCCTCCAACTCTTCCACCCCCTCTCTCCCTGTTTTTGCAGTCCCTGAAACGGCACCTGAAACTTATCCCCTTCTCCCCCCTTTTTCCCCCCTGTCCAGTGCCCACCCCTCACGCACAAACCTCCCTTTCCTCCCACACCCCATATACCCCCCAAACCCCATCCCTTCATACCCCCTCCCTGCAATGCCCATGCAGCCACCATAGTCATTCATGCCACGCCGTCCCCCCAGGGGAGAGGAGGATGAGCCCGGATCAGCCCGACGCTCAGGCAGGACCTCGGGCCGCCCTACCCCCTACCCCCCCCCCCCCCCCCCCCCCTTCATCCGCTAAGAAAAACCCGGTCACCAGCGACCAAGCAATCACCGGCGACAGACACACAGACCTTCGGGGTAAAAGACGCGCGCTAGAAGAGACAAGAACACAACCACACCCACCCGCGCATAACGAGGAACGAGAAGGGGCTCACCCACGCTCTAAGATGTGCCATAATCCGCCTCTCCCCCCACAGCCCCCCTCTACAGGATGCGTCAACGGTGCAGCACAGCAGGATGCGGAGCCGTTTTCCACCGCACCCACCCGCACCCATACCCGAAAAAACAAGTCACACAACGAAACGCAAGTACCGGACTCCAACCAAGGGAACGCAGCAGGCCCCACCCCCACGGGGGGGTTGAAAGGGAGAGCAAGGCAGGCCCCACCCGTGGCCAAGAGAGGAGAGGAGGGGAAAGGGAAAGCCAGGGCACCGGACCTGGACGTGCATGAGAGTAACGCTGAGCGTGAGGCCGAGGCGAGCAGCTCTGCTGTAGGAAAAGGGGCAGGGGCTGCGGGTGTGACGGCAAGGGATGCCATGGGGGCAGCAAGGGATGTCGTGGGGACGGCAAGGGTTACAGTGGGTATAGCAAAGGACACGGGGGGGATAGCAGAGGCTCCTGGAAAGACGCTAGAGGTGGTGACTCTGGCCACGGAAAGGGTAGAGGCAGTGGCCACAGCAGGCGAGACTTGAGGGACCGCAGCAGGGGAGGCTGCAGGGACCGAAGCAGGTGAGGCTGCACACTCCACAGCAGGTGAGGCTGCAGAGACTGCAGTAGGTGAGGCCGCAGGGACCGCAGCAGGTGAGGCTGCAAACACCGAAGCAGGTGGGCAGCAGGGACCGCAGCAGGTGAGGCAGCGGGAACCACGGCAGGTGAGGCAGTAGGGATCGCTGCAGGTGAGGTTGCAGGGACCGCACCAGGTGGGGCTGCAGGGACTACAGCAGGTGAGGCGGCAGGGGTAGCAGCAGGCGAGGCTGCAGAGTCCGCATCAGGTAGGGCCGCATAGACCGCAGCCGGTGAGGCTGCACAGTCCACAGCAGGTGAGGTTACAGGGCCCGCAGCAGGTGAGGCCACAGAGACCGCACCAGGTGAGGCTGCAGGGACCACAGCAGGAGTGGCAGAGGCCACAGCTGGAGCTGGTATACAGGGGAGGGCTTTGGGGGCTGCAGCGGGGGAGAGTGTAGCGGGGCCTGGGGCAAGGGAGAGTACAGCAGCAGGTGCTACTGTGAGAGAGGAGAGAGCAGAGGCTACAAAGACAGAAGGTGGGGCTGCAGCTGAAGCAACAACGGCCATAGCACACCCACTGGGGGCGGCGGTGGGATCCACAGCAGGGCCTGCTGGGGCTGTCTTTGGCAGTAAAGAGCCAGCAAAGGGGGTGGACTTAGGGGACATGGGGACAACAGGGGCAAGAGGGGCGGGTGGGGTCCCAACTAGGGAGGTCCTTGATGGAGGGGAAGTGATGGTGATGGGAGGGGATGCGGTAGAGGACGTGATGCAAATTGACGGGCCACTGGCCCAATACCTCACTCCGGACGGTAAGGCCAACCCAGGCCCCCTGCAGCCTCCGGTTCCTCTTTCCCCCCCATTTCCGAAACCATTCTGGCAGATGGACCGATGGAGGGGTTAGAGGAGACTGTGAGGACAGAGCCCCATGAGGGCGCTCCCATCCCTACCCCTCACTTTTCAGGCCACCCTCCTGCAGGATCATCACATCCCTGCCCCCACCCTCAGGGGCTCCCTCTAGCTTCGAGGGGGGCAGCAAGAGCCCTGGCCTTCTTGGCAGAGCCGTGCACCCCGTGCAGAGATAACTACTACAACGGGAGCAAGACTACGGGCTAGGCACGGGTGTTCGTGTGATCTTTGCGTTCGTTCGTTCCTTAGTCATTTCCTTGGGCGAACACAGCTTGCTCGTTCACCGGAAAAGTTGGCAAGAGTTCCACTAGGAAAAGGTTCAGAATAATTGGAACAATATTGGCATGCAAGACTACATCAGTCCTAGCAAAGCTGCTGGTCGACTTCCAGCGCAGCACGGTCGACCGCGTGCTAGCATGACTTGGTCGACTGCACAGGTCACCGGTCACACACCGCCACCGATCCCTCCACAGCAGATGAGCGCCGCATTGCACGTTGCCTTTGCCTGGCAGCGTGCAATGAGACGTCACGGGCCTGCGCGGCTCTCGAGTCCGCAGAGGCAGCCCCAGATACACAGGGGACAATACATCGCTTGCGGTCGAAGCAGCCCAACGTGGATAGGCCGACTGCAGCTTGGCTATCAAGTTTTCAGGGGCCTGCTCTCGTGCTCTCGGTGGATCACTTACGTCACGCGATCTTCACAGCTCAGCGGGGCTCCTCGGGAGGACCGTCCGATTGGGTCGCTGGGCATCTTCAAGACACTTTCCTGGCTTTCCCTCAGAGTCTCCATTTACTTTTGGTTGTGTACCAGCAGTGGCTCCGAGGTCGTTGCGCTCCAGGTGCACGCTCCTTGCTAGCGTCCTCCACCCTCGTGGCTCTGGCCAAGTCGAACATGAATGTTCGGCTAATTGCCATTGGCGAGGTGTTGGTCCGCATTCTTTCACGAGCAGTCTGTCTCCAGCTCCGTGACCAGATGGCGAGGGTCTCCTGGCGTCACAGCAGTTTGGGGTTGGGGTGACGTGCGGGACAGAGGTCGTAGTTAGAGGCGTCCGCCGCGCTATGGCTGACCACCCAGACTGGGTGGTCCTGCAGCTAGACGTGGCGAATGCCTTTAACTCTTTCCACCGAGACAGGATGTTTCAGGCTCTGCAGGCCAGTCCGGAGTTTCACTGCCTCATCCCCTTCATCGGCCTCATCTACGGGACGCCCTCGGACCTCCACTACAGGTCAGGTATGGGAGTGGTCACGATGCACTCGGAGCGTGGCACTCGCCAGGGAGTCCCCCTCAGCCCCTTCTTGTACGCTCTGACGCATCGCCTTGCCTTGGAGCCGGTTCTGACGGAGCGGGATGTCCTGCTCTGGTCGTACGCCGATGACACATGCGTGCTAGGTCTCCCAGACAGGGTGCTACACCACTTCGCCGAGATCGTGAGGCGCTTGGGCGAGATGGGCCTTGCGGTCCAATCGCACAAGTGCCTCGTCTACCAGACGAAGTCCTTTCTTTCCAGGGATTTGGAGGCTTTCACGAGCCTAGGGATCGAGGTCGCACGCCGAGGGCTCACCGTGACAAGCGTACCGGTGGGCACCGTTTCGTTTGTGGAGCACAGCCTCCCGGATCGTCTCGAGAGGATGGGAAGGGTGCTACCTTGGCTCCCGAGGTTGCGCCAGCCCCAGACAGCTGCTCGCCTTCTTTCGGCATGTGTCAGCACTCGTCCGCAGTACCTGTCGAAAACCGTCCCTCCCTCGCCCGCAGTGCTCTCCAGTTTTACACGGTGGGACTCACGCCTGGGAGAGACTTTTCAGCGGCTTTTAGCGTCAGGGACATGGGCTTGTCGCGAAGACGTCCGAAAGCCGCCCTAAACCAGATATTCCTCCCCATCCGTCTCGGGGGCTTCGGCGTTCGTCGCATGGCGCGCATTGCCCCGGTGAGTTACGTGTGCTCTTGGGTGCAGTGTGCACCCATTCTCTGTTCTCTCTCTGCGTGTGGCAATGTGTTTCGGCAGAGCTTCACTTCAGGTGAGCCAGAGTAGATCGACCGGGCTCTGCATACGGTGCTAGGGGGTCTCCCACCTGACGTTCTCTCTCTCCTTCCCTCTTGGACCACTTGCGCTTCTGCCTCCCCCGATTCCCTTTTTGCAGGAGCGAGCCGCCTTATGGAGGCGCATGCTTTGGAGGCAGTGCATGCCCGTCACACCTCTCCCTTGCACCTTGCCCGTTTGACTTACCTTCAAGGCGGAGGTGCAGGAGCGTGGTTGCAGTCGGTGCCGTACGCCAATCCACTGCGCTTCCCGGAGGCGCCGTGGCAGGTGGCTTCATCATCTCGTCTTGGTCTCCCTATCCCCCAGTTAGCCCTTGCAGGTCAGTTCTCATGTGGACAGGCAATCGACGACATGACGGTGCCTCATCACGCGGCTCGGTGCCCACGATTCGGTGTCTCCATGACCATCCATGACACGATGAAGTTCGTGCTTCGAGAATTCGCGGTCGAGGCGGGCTTCGCGGTGAAGGTGGAAGACTCTACGCTGTTCACACAGTTGGAGGCGGCTCAAGCGAGACTGGAGGGACAGGTGGTGGGAGAGGGGACACGGGCTGAGGGACCGCTGGAGCAGAGGGGCGAGGCAGGATAGCCGGGTGATGGGGGGCAGTGGGGGCAGCATCAGCTGCGGGGTCGGGTGGCGCGAGGGACAGGAGGGCAGAGGGGACGGCAGGGGGAGCAGACGGGCCAGGACGGGGAGGGGGGATAGCAGAGGCAGCAGCAGGAGAGCCAGCGCAGGCCGCGGGCCCAGGGTGCCGCGCTTCCGGGTTTGGGCTCGAGGGTGGGGCAGGGGCGGGAGCAGCATAGAGCAGACGGAGGTATAGGGGGGGCAGCGGGATCAGGAGGGGAGGACCAGGGAATGAGAGAGGCAGCAGGGGATCGAGCAGGGAGGTTGGGAGGGTTAGAGGAAGGTAGAGAAGGGGAGGGGAGAGGACAGGTGGGTGGAGGAGAGGATAGGGGGAGAGAGACGATCGGAGAGGAGGCATCGAGGGACCAAACACGGCACCAGCCAGCGCAGCAGCAGGGACCAGTCGGATGCACAGGTCGTGTGGCACCTCTTCCCGCATCAGAGACCTCACCTGCCGCGACGTCAGGCAGAGTTTGATGGTTCTTGTGGATGTCTCACAGCGGGAGGGGAACGTGCAGCTGAGACGGGCGACCCCCACACAGATTGGAGTGGCAGCAGCTAGGCGGGTGCAGGAGAAGCTGATCACTGGGGGCCGCACTTAGAGGGGTTGCAGCCGGCACCACACTTTTACGCGTACGTGGCTGAGACCTTTGACCTTCTGAGCGAGCCGCTGCGTCAGTTTTTGGGGCTCTGCGCAAAGAGGATAGCACAGCGGAGGAGTGACAAGGGAGGGGGGGATGACGGATCGGCACGGATATTTGAGGCAGGACTCAGTACACGCCTCTCCATGGCACTGCAGTGCGCGCAATCTCAATGCATCATCCAACATGCGGTGCGGCAGTTGGGGGGATCCGACGACGGGTGGATGCCGGCACCTGTCCCACTGAGTGCAGGGCAGGGAACTTGGCACCACGTCACAGGGTGCGTCGAGAGTGCTGCTGATATGCAGTATATATATGATGCATATGTGTAAAAAACAATAGTGGCTGTGCTTGAAACGCTGTGCCCGCGCTGTCGTGCGGGTGGCTGCCGTGTTTGGTCCCTTGGTGCTTCCTCCTCCTTAGTCTCTCTCCCTCTCTCCTCTTCTCTTCCCACCTCCCTCTTTCTTTTCCATTTTTCTATCCTTCTATTCTCTTCCTACCACTGGGATCCGGCGTAGTAGCCGAGGTATGATCGTACCACGTCAATCCCGTGCCGCGACCGGTACACACCCCTTGCCCGGGTCCCCCCTTCATAGTCACACCCCCTGCCCCTCATGCCATCCGCTCCCCCCGCCCCTAACCTCCGCGTGCCCGCTCCCTCGCCGCCTCTTTTGACCCTCCCTGCCCCCCTCGCCGCTTCCCACCGCCCGCCATTCGTTCCTCCTCGCCCGTGCCCTCCCCTCGTTTACCTTCTCCTCCCCCCTCCCCTCCTCTGTCCCACGCTTCTTCCTTCCCCTCGCTAACCTACTCCACTCCCTGCCCCTCCTCAATCCGCACCCTGCCCCTCGTTTTTTTACCCCCTGCGCTTGCTTTCTCCCCTCCCTGCCCCTCGTTGCCTTTCTCCGCTCCCCTCCTCCCCCCTCTCTCTGGTCCCCAACTCTCGCCCCCTTGTCCTTGGCTTCCCATCTCCCTGTCCCACGTTTCCCCCGTCCTTGTGCTCAGTGTCTCCCCTCCCTGCTTTCTCCTTCCTCCCCGCCCTGCCCCTCATTTTCCGCCCCCCCACGCCCGGTTTCTCCCCTCCCTGCATCTCCCTATCTTTCCCCGTCCCTCTCCTTTGTTCCCTCCCTGCCCCTGGCCGTCCATGCCCCTGTCCTTGGTTACTCCCCCCCCTGCCCGACGTTTCTTCCCTCCCTGAGCGTACCTTGTACCCTCTCTGCCCCTCCTTTGTTTTCCCCGCACCCATCGCTTCTGCCCTCCCTCCCCTTGATTTCACGCGCCCCTGCCCTTGTTTCCTACCATCCATGCCCCTCGTTTTCCCCCTTCGTACGTTCAGCCTCTTCCCTCCCTGCCCCTCCCTTCCTCCCCTCCCCCCCCCCCCCCCTCTTTGCTTTTTCCTCGCTACGCTGCCTTCTCCCCCTCCCTGCTGCCCTCTTACCACCATCAGCCCATCCCCACCCCCAGCCTCCCTCCCTTCCTTCCCTCCCTCCCCTGTCCCCCCCCCCTCCCCTCTCTCTCTCTCTCTCTCTCTCTCTCTCTCTCTCTCTCTCTCTCTCTCTCTCTCTAATGGTCTGTATATTGATATGGCAGAAAGGTGCACACATAAAGGTTCAGAAGCATGCAATTTCATCCTATTCCCTCTACAGTTCCACGAGTGGCTCCAAAACAGCAAAACAATCCCCTAGGTGTAGCTCATGGCCAATACCCCCTACCGGGGGGTTCTCAGCTGCTGCCGCCTCACCCAATTTCATGAGCAGGCCCACTGACTGTGCTCTCTGAAGGGCAACCGACCACCGCTGCCTGAACTGATGCAGAAACTTAGCGGCATGATAGGAGTTAGAATCGGCGTTGAAGTGGCGCCGAGCCGCAGTGTCTGCCAGCAGTTTAAGGAAGACGGGGACCTCTGCGCATGGGCAGCCGTAGGTCTCCACCGCCAGTGGAAAGAAGCCGACTGTCTCTGGTCTGTTCGCGTAGTGCTGAATCTTCTTGTCTGCCTGCTCCCTGGCCGCCCATCCCCTGCCTTTCTGTGCCTGTGGGTCCCGAGTACTGATGGGGTCTGTCACGGTCACGTCGCACACCCAAACCGCCCCACTGCTCCTATCGGTCATGGTGAAATCGGCCGTCTGCTCCTCGATAGGGCAGTGGGCAGCCGACTCGCTGTGGACTATAAAACCCACGTCCTGTGCCATACTAATGCAAGCGTCACGGAGCTCGTTGTGGGTGTTGATGCGATGCTTGCCGGTGCCGCAGCGTAGGAGGTGATTTGGGAGGCGGGGGTCCAGGACTTCGGTGTGATCCGAGCAGTCACAGTTTTTGGGGGTGGAGAAGGGCAACCCAAGCCTGAATCTGACGGCATTGGCAAAGTGTACCGGCCCTATGCGCCTGGTTGCCTCTATAGGAATTGCCGTCAGCCAGTCCCCCGTGCCGTAGCCCGTTAGAGAGAACATCCGCTGCGTATGGCCTGCCAGCGGATTCAGCTCCATGTCTCTCGTCGCCTGAACTTGCACGGCGTAGCGGCTACCGTGGACCTGTAGGGCAAGGGCGTGCTGCAGCTTGACATCCGTCCGCTTAATTCGTTCCCGTTCCAGCAGTTCTCGCGCATCGGAAGGCAGGGCGGTCTCGCACTCGGTGAGCCAGGAGTGAAGCGGTGTGCTCTCGTCCCTAGGCAGGAGCATATGGCATCGCGCGTGAGATAGTGCGGAGCCCGTGTCTAGCGCGAGCGTGGAGAAGAGCAGAGCCGCCTGTGTGAAACTCGCGACGAAACCGTAAACTCCCTCAACGAGGGGGTCAGTAATGCCTATTCCCCCAAGAGAAGGGGGCAGGGACGCCTGCGCCCAGACGCGTGACTGTTCTGCTCTGCCCGCCGGAGCGCGAATGTTGCACGAGGTAAGGAGTGCTAAGAGGAGGTCACGGCCCCACTCCGTCCATGTATCCCGGGAGATGAGGTTGAGGGGAGTTGTTCGGGTGAGATACGCCACGCGCCGAGAGATGCAGCGCGTGATCAGCAGCGAGGCAACCTGAGGATCAGCCCGCTCGATGAGTGGTAACGGTTTCGCCAGGTCCCTCAGCTGCCCTGCCAAGAACGTTGCTGCGCCGTTGGCCGCCCCCAGATAACTCCCAAGCAAACGGATGCCGTCTGTGCAGAACGGCACCCCTGGAGGCAGGCCAGTGGAGTCGCACGCAGCAGCGCTCCATGCCGTGCACTTCTGCGGGTTGTGCTTCAGGCCTAGTGATTCCAACTTCGTGGTGAAGTGGTTGAAGGCAGCTATAGTTGCACGGTGTTCACCCACGAATGTCACGTCGTCTGCATAAGCCAAGCAAAGCACCCCAGGGTATGCTGCTGCAGTGTCGCGAAGTGTGGGGTGTATTCCCGCTGCAAACAGTAGCAGGCCTAGTGGATCGCCCTGGCGAACGCCCCGTTCGCTGCGCAGGGGCTCGCTCGCAAAGTTCGAATCCAGGTAGAGCCGCGATGGGTTACCGTAGGTCAGGCGAACCAGTGGGAGCAGCGGCGACAGAGTTGGCTCTTGTAACGCTGCTGCGATGGATTGTCGTGAAATGCTGTTGAAAGCATTCGCGATGTCGGTCTGCAGTACCAGGCTGTTCGGATGGCCATCCACATACGTTCGGGCGGCATGTATTATCGCTTCCGCCCCTCCAGGCACCGCCACTCCGTACTGTAGGGGTAGGAAATGATCACGTGCAGCTTCGCCCATGACCAACAGCGCAGCCTTGGCAGCCAGACGCGTCAGACATTCGCCGATCGCGATTGGTCGGGCACCTCCTCCAGGCTTGGCCAGGGTAATGAGTCGAGATGCTGTCAGCAGGTCTGCCACCGAGGCTGGAAGATTTCCCCCTAGAATTGTGTTTACCAGGGCGTGCAGATGGGTGCAGACGGATGCATTGGTTACTGCCGCGTCGCGAAGATGTTCAAATGTCGTTCCTGAGGGTCCGGCCCCCACACCATTATCGCATCGCCCAAGCAGCTTCGCAAATTCTGCGTGTGAAATGCCTAGGGTTCGGGTGTCGGTCGTTTGCCAAGTCAGCGACTCTGCTCCTGCTGGAGGGTGTTTCTGGCGAAGTTCAGCCAGAATTTCTGGACTCGGCGTGCAGACGGGTGTTGACTCGAGCGCCAGCACGGCACGGCGCAGACTGCCACGTTTTGCCAACCCCTCCGTTCGACTCAAAACACCTGTCACATCGGGTTGATGACGCGGGGGCGGAGGGGAGTTGACCGCGTTTACTGCCTCCTGGTAGAGCTGCGTCCACTCGCCACGATGGAAAGCCCGAAGCCGGGCCTTGATAAGTGGCCAGTTCGGGTGCTTTGACGAAGCTTGGCGAAGTGTTAAACGCGGGAGGAAGAGGAGCAGTCGCCAGCCAGCCTCGGAATCGGGGTTTCGCGAGAGGTGGTGTAGGGGTGTCAGGAGTGCCAGCGAAAATAGCTGGCACAAATTTGGCGGTAATCGCCTTGACAGGGGCGGTTGTCGACTGTCGTAGAGGGCGGAAATATCCCAGTTCGCGATGTCAGCGAACATGTCGCTCCTCTCTGCCAGCTCCTCTGGCGAAAAATAGCGGGGCAACTGTGGGGTCGCGATTGACGAGTGGTTGGGAATTGCGGTCCGATTTCTTCGAGCGCGGCTCGATCTCGCTGAATGTTGCCGAGATGGGTTTACGTCCGTACGATCAGCTGCCGACGGCCCTGATTGTCCGTGCGTTCCTGCCGTGGGTAAATTGGCTGCACCTGGTCCTCTCCTTCCCAGTCCTTCCCTTGTTGTCTCAGCACCAACTCCTTCTTCGTTTTCAC